TGTGTGTGTGTGTGTGTGTGTGTGTGTGTGTGTGAGAGAGGTGGAGAGTTGTGTGTGTGTGTGTGTGCATTTCTGAGAGTGTGCCAAGCTACATTGTATGCAAGTCGCAGTTTTGAAATGATTGTTTTAAGACATTCACTTTGCCCTACCATAGCGGGGTGGAAGTGGGAAATGTAATGATGATGTACAATCGTTCTGTGTGTATAAATGTGCACTGTGAAAAGGTAGAGAGAGCACCACACTGTCAGTCCTCTGTCGTATTGCACTGAGTGTTCTCGTTTTGCGGTCTGAAAAAAGAAAAGGAAGAACCATATTTGAGGAAAAGCGTACTGTATTCTGATTGTCACTTGGGTTCTGTTGAGAGACATGAATAAATACGAACTCAAAACTCGCCTGGCTTGGAAAATAAATGTATTATCTTGAACTTGTTCCTTTTCTCCTAACTTGAAAGTTTCCTTTTGTGAACAGGTTAGGTTTTCAAGTGTTCCACACATTAAACTAAAAAGGTTTTTAGATGGCTTAACATTGACAAGAGTCACAACTTAGGTGAAAATATATATAATTCTGAGCATTTTTTTCTCATTGCTTAATATTCTGAAATTAAAATTAACCTTAAAAAACGTTAAATAAAAAATAGTAATGTACCAAACAACTATCATCAAGGATTATTTTTATTGTTTATTAAAAAACAAATATTGGCGCAAATGTTTTGTGGTTGTGAAGCAATTCTACAATCATTTGTTTTGCTAAGCATAAATACCATCATATTTACCATTGATTGTACATCATGTGGACTGTCTCAAAATGTATTTAAAAAAAGTAAAGTAAAAAATGACCATTTGTGGCGGCACATTATCTTTCTCTAAAACAAACATTACAGCGGCTAGCCTTGTGTYGCTGCTCTTCTGATGCTTTGATGGTGCCAGGTCTTGAGCTGATAAACTGCTCTGCCTTATTCACAGTAGTCAGCCAAAAACTGTAGAGGTTAGCAAAGTAGTGGCAGGAGCCTCTTGCACCCTGGCACTCAATGAAGGGGTGAGTTCGGAAATCTTTAAGGCAGCTTCCTGAAGAAGTCAGAGATTGTCCGCCGCCCTCATCTCCTGCCCCTGTGTGCTGTGGAGAGTAAGGCAGCAGGTGTTGATTAAAGTGAGTTTAATCCGATACCAATTTAATTAACACGATCAAACTTTAAACTGAACTCACTAGAAGGAAGGAGTAGCCTGTCCACAAACTCCTCCAGCCAAGTGGGCATGGAGGAACTGCATGATCTTGGCTGTGAAAGGCCACCGCTGGTGAAACYGTCTCACATACTACACATCGGCTTATGTGGATGTTTATTTCTGGGCCAACAAGTGGCATCATGGGTATGGGAGCAGTCGTGGAGAGCCAGTAGGATTTGTCATTGCGGCTAGAGTAGTAGCAGGCAGCTTTGTCACAGTAGGAAAAAGGCATGGTGGAGAAAACTGGGAGACAAGAACCAGGCTGACCTGCAGAGGGAGGAAGTAAATAAGACAAATAAATAAATAAATAACAAGAAAAGAATGTATCAATATGGAGATGAAAAATAAAAAATAAAAAACAAGTCTACCCAGATCTTGTGTATGAGCTTTTTCTTGTCCTTCTAAGTAAACAAGACTGTATCCCACCCAAAGCTGAGTGCTACCCAAAGGGCAGTGTGGCACATGAATTGACTGGCTGTGGACAACCAAAAGGAAGGCTGACTTTAGTGGCCCTCTGTAGCCTGGGTCACCTGGATCACCAGGAAGACCCGGACTGCCTGAGCAGAGAAAGAGTTGACATATTAAGGTAAGATGGGCCATCGGCAGGAATAAATATGGCCTAATTTGGCAATTATCTGTCTTGTAAAGTTTATTTCCTGTGTTTCATTATTTACCTTGAGGCCCTGGAAATCCTTGTACACCAATATTTCCTGGGTCTCCAACTGAACCATCAAGACCAGGAAGACCTGGCCCACCAGGAACACCCCTAGACCCTTTAGGACCCTTTTCTCCTACAACATATAGTATATAGTACACACAAATCATTGCGAATGATGTTGAGGTAAAAACAAAAGACACACAAGACAAATTTGGAAAGAATAGGTGCAAATCATGCCCAAACAATGCATAAATACTGTTACCCTTCCTTCCTTGAGGTCCAGATGGACCCACAGAACCTGCAAACCCAACTGGTCCGGGAGCACCATGTGGCCCTGGTAGTCCTGGAGGAGCCACTCCTATACCTTCAGTGATTAAGTCACCAGGTGCACCTTTAGCACCTAGATAACACATTAAGTATATTTTATTGCCTCAAAAGTGAACTTTACAATAATGTCTTTACATTATTTATTATTTGTTTCTACGTATGTTTTTCATTCATTACGTTGAACAATATAAATTAGAATTTATTTTTATTCTTTGTTACATTGGCACTCACCTGCATTCCCAACAAGGCCAGTTTCTCCTTTGCGGCCTTGTGGCCCAGGGGCACCTCTTTGACCTTTGTGTCCCGTAGGGCCTCTTGGACCGGCTGGTCCTTCCACTCCTGTAGAATTGTGTTAACATTTTGTTCAAGTAAATGGCTACACATGAAAATAACTCAAGGCATCAGACATGTATTCCTTAGTATACCTTTTGGTCCTGTAAGACCATAGCGGTTCTGAGGTCCAGGAGTTCCTGGAAGACCCCTACCCCCTTTACATCCTGGCAATCCAGGAGGCCCAACTGGTCCTGGGTCTCCTTTGAATAAAATGCTGCTGCCTGGTAATCCAGGTGATCCAGGTGGTCCTTGATTGTTTTTTTTTTAAACATGTCAAAATAAAAACTTAATGACCAACATTTGTAAAAAAATAAAATAAAATAAAACCAAAAAAAATTATAGTTGCGATATGTTCATTATTAATGGCAACGTTAATAAATTCACAAAATATCAAATAATTAAAATAGAATCATACAAACCTGGRGGTCCTGCAGGTCCTTCATATCCTCTGTCACCCTGGGTTCCAGGGAATGGTGTTTGACATGTTGTGCCAGGGTGACCAGGCTCACCTGGCAGGCCTGGAGGGCCTGCAGAAAAAAAAAAAACTTAAGAACAATCATAAAAGTAGTCAACAGATAATAGTGAAGYAAAAACACAATGCATTCTGAGAAACCACATTGATTTATACTTTAATTAATGGTCCCAAAATAACTGAATCTAGTGATATAACAGAGTGCAACTGAAGAGAAAGTTTAATCTGTCAATTATTCAGCTCTATATTTTGAATAAAAGTAAATTAGTGATAACTTTTTTTTAATATAGAGTTGAAGGATGATGATGATGATGATGATGATGATGATGATGATACCTGTGTTGCCAGGTGCCCCACTTTGGCCTTTAGGTCCTGGAAAAGTCACTCCTGGAGGCCCGGGTGGACCTCTAATGCCTTTGACTCCAGGAAGGCCATATTGTCCAGGAGCACCAGGAATACCTATTCCTTGGTTTTCATGTGAGTGCACATAAAGCACAGTGTTACAAGGACTGAGAGAATGAATCATAATACTTGTGCATTTTGCACTTTGAAATTTGATTTAATTTGTGAAGAATTCATGAGGACAATTAAGATCAGTGGCGCCTGCAGCTGTACGGCTGTACGCATTGTGCGTACCTTGAGATTTTCCTTTGAGTTAAAAATTTTTTATAAGCATTTGATTTTTCACTCKTCATTATTACAAAAAATGGTGGACAAAATAAAATAAGAAAATGTTTTTTTGTCTGAACTTCCTGTACATTCATCTGTGTGCGTCTGTGGGGGTGGGCGCATGCGTCTGAAACTAATGTAATTACCTGTTAGTTTATGTTGTTTATTTGGCGGCTGCCCTGGCGCTTTCTCTTTAACATGACTATGGGGTGAAGCTAACTAAACATGAGTGAGCAAACTTTTAAATGATTAAATCTTGTTTAAATGGTTACAAAAGAGTATAAATAAAGTGCCGTTGCTTTGACTCGTCCTCTGGATGTAACTGACAACACCTGAGCCAGGACAACTCTCCTCCCGTGGACAAAGCTAGCTTCTCTCTGCCTTTACCTCCTACAGGAGCCCAGCTCAGCAGCAGCTCTCAGTCACAGGTAACTTTARCCACCTGGTTTCAGTCAGACAGTCATTTTTTTGAGTTTGAGCAAAATGTGTTCTGAGCTGAGGGTTTCTTGTCGCTCCACATTTTGTTCCCCTTCAAAAAAAGGAAAAACAACTCTGATATCACCTTTCACTGACCTCACACTTTTCTCAATCTCTGTTTTGCTGCATTTTGACATAGTTTCCACTACAGTCTGCATAAATCAAATCCATATTCTTGCCTTATTTTTATTTAATAATTGTTTTAATGCAGTGGCCGCAGCATGTTGTGATTGTCTGATGCTGCTCTGCCTTCCTCTCTCTCTTCCCACCTGCAAAGGACGTAGACAGAAATAAGGATGTAATGTTGCAAACTGCAGTCACTTAATAGCTTGTCGATTTTTTTTATCTCCGCCAAGGAAGTAATGTTTTTGGTCATGAATGTCCGTCTGTCTGTCGTTCTGTCTGTAAACAACATTACTCAAAAACTTGTGGACGGATTGTCATGACATTTTTAACACATGTAGTACTGGGTCAAGGAACACACCATTATATTTTGGTGATGTTCCGGATCACAATGCAGATACAGGAATCTTTATTTTTCTTTTAATCCTCTGAGATTGGCAAAGCTGTGATGCTTTCACAGGGCTTCTGTAAAAAAACAGTGAGAGCTTTCAGTGTTCATTTGAACTGGATTCGACAGCACGGACTTCAAACTTTATAAAAGTAATGTCAAAACCAGATTTAATGATGATTAATTTTTGCCATAATGTGCGCATTTTTACACATTTGGTGCTCATTTAGAGAATGTTTTCTGACCAGGAAGTGCATGACTGCACCATGAAACCTATTTCTCCCATTTTCTCAAACACAGGCTTGTAAAAAGAGAGCTGCCGCGCCTCAAAGTTTTTTTTTTTAGTTTTTTTTTTTTTTTTTTTKGGGGGGKGGGGGGGTGTGCAGGAAGCACTTTATGAATAGAGTCAAACCATTACAAACTCATACAAGGGGATGAAACAGACATTTTACATGATGAAATGTGACTGATGAAAACTTAGGAGCTTAATCCGACACCAGTTTGACAATGAATAACGTCAGGTGACGAGTCTGACTTTTTTCTTTTTTCACATTGGACTCCATCGGGAATAAATTCCGTGCATACTGCCTGCTTAAATGTTCGATACGTCAGAACTTATTCGGCAAATGTGTTTCCATCTCTGCTTTTGCGCATTCACTCTTACAGGATGGGGGAATTTGGTCTTGGCAAAGGTTTGCACTCTCTGAGTGCTTCTAGTTTTATATTCTTTTTTTTCTTATTGTATTGTGATGAGTAAAAAGCAGGAAAAATGTGTGTGCACGCTTTGGACCTGTGAGACAGATGTGCATTGCGCTCCTGTGTCTTGTGTTGGTCAGGACCTGGTACGGTGCCAAGTTGCTGTTTTTGTGTGCCACGCGCATCGCGCCCATGTGACCTGTATTTGTGTGTGTCAGGTAGATTGGTTTGTGCGTACAATCATCCAATAAAATTCTGCAAGTGCCCCTGATTCAGATAAAAGTATAGCCTTCTAACTGAAGGAACAATTCTGGTGTAACTCATAAACATATTTATATGTTCTTAACAAAATAAACAGTTCCTACCACTTGATCCTTTCATTCCTTTTGGACCTCTTAGCCCATCCAATCCATCCAGACCTGGTGAACCAGGCTGTCCTAACATGAAACAGTAGATCACAATATTACATAAACATGTCTTGTTGTGTGATAATAGATCCAAAAAGTCATTTCACCACTGGCCCATGCACATACAAATGTGCAAAGTGGTTTTTCACATGGCTTGATATGTGTCATGTGTGTCAAACATGGGGCAAAATGTCCTAATGTTGGTACCTGGGAACCCATATGAACCAGGGGGTCCTGGTTGGCCCAYGACTCCTTGATCGCCAGTAGGACCTGGAAAACCTGGATGACCTGCAAGACCACGAGGCCCAGGAAAGCCTGAGAAGACACAGGAACAGACAGGTTTTTGGTTTCTCTTGTTCTCTTGTTTGTTGTTTTTGTGTTGTGAGAAATACATTTGTAAGAATAACAAAAACAGACAACTAAACTTTTTACAAACCCATTAGTGCTTGCAACATGATGTGTTAACAAATGTAAACTCTGGAATACTTTATTTTGGATGTATAAATGTTTGTTAATTACTTATATTCAGTCTGACATGAAAGGTGTGGTATATAAAGACATGATGCATGTTCCAATATTTTTAATAAGTCCAAGCATGAGTCAGCATTTCTTGCATTTCAACCATTCACCTACTAATTAGACTACATTCAGGTTATCCAGACTACATTGGTATTGTGTAAATTCATACAATTAAAGCTTAATTTATTTTATTTTATTATAATTGACTTTATTGAATGATTTTTTGCTAAACACAGCTTTTTTTTTTTTTTTTTGCTAATCCCTGGCTAATCACCTGGTCCTCCTTGTCTTCCTGTTTCTCCAGGACTGCCTTGATATCCAGGTTGCCCTGGCCTTCCTCTTGGTCCTGGCTCACCTGGATCTCCTGGGCTTCCTCTAGGTGCTAGAGACAATGACTTGTTATTAATGAAATGTCAGCAAATTATGATTGTTATACAATATTCAAGATAATCTAGTTTAGAAAATGCTAAGGAATTGTATTAGTAGAAACATGTTTGTACCACTGGGCCCATTTTCGCCAGGCAATCCTTTGGGTCCAGGTGGACCAGGTGTCCCATAGAATTGTCCTTGATCACCTGAAACAAATGTATTCTTAGCAAGGTCAATCCAACAAAATAAAACATGTTTAAATAGTGAAATGTCAAGATTTATACATTAAATTGTACATACCTGATTGGACTTGATAAATCAGACAATCTTACTTACCCTAAGCAGTACATTTAGATCATCTTCACAAAATCAAAGTACACATATACAACAGACAACACTATAAACGCAAAACATTTCATCTCACCTTTGACACCAGGTAATCCTGGAAGTCCTGGGATACCAATGTTTCCTGGAGGCCCTGGATCTCCCTATAGGACACAGGAGCATAAATCTATTTTTTATTTAAAAATATTTACTTATTTATTTAATTTTTACAGTCATTAAAAAAACACAAATAAGCATGAAAAACATGATAATTTAAACTATTTATCTATTCACTGTGTCTTCACCCTATCTCCAGGAAGCCCAGGATATCCCCTTGGACCTGGGAAGCCTTTACTTCCAGGATATCCAGGTGGTCCAGATTCTCCCGGCCTGCCCGGAACACCAGCGGGGCCCTTAAATCCTGGGAGGCCATACAATCCATTGGTTCCTAAATCACCTGGCACTCCTCTTCGGCCCTTTGGACCTGAATAAGATCAACAGACACAAAAATGATGTGAACACCTATAGCTTATGACAGTATGTTTCATTTTTGCAAAGTGAAAAAAACAATAGTGTACAAAAAATTATTTAGAAAAACTATAACAACAACAACAATAAACTTTATAATAATAATAATAATAATAATAATAATAATAATAATAATAATAAATGTACTGAAATAATTGTAGGATAAATAAAAGTTTTATTGCCTGGAAGTCCTGCCTGGCCAATTTGACCTCTGTTTCCTGGAGATCCAGTCTGCCCTTTTACTGTGTTCACAATATTTGAAACTCCTGGGAATCCTGGAGGTCCACGCATACCTGAAGGTATCACGAAACTGATTTAAACATCTTACATGCTCTCAAAAGAACCATAGACTTAGCACAAAAACAATCAAAAACAAATTATATTCATTGTTGCTTTTCATGGACATCTTTAATTATTTGGCTAGTATACTATTATTGTTAATGTTTTAGAAGTACTACAACCTGCTATTTTCTAATTTAGTTTATTTTTAAAGCATATTTTTATTACAAACACATGTGACCAAAGCACTGTACATAAAACAAAAGCAAACAATGCCAAAAAAATAGTAATCACATGGAAATAAAATAAATTATTAAATTAATATGTTGAAAAAAACATGTGTTTTAAATGACACCTAAAATTTGAAGATTTGATTTTGCTTAACATGTAGAAGTTAGTCCCATAATTAATCAGTTGTGACTAAAGACTTGGTGACCACCAAGTAGAGACCATCTTCTTACAAAATGAGTGATGGTTTTAATACTGTTTGATGGTTTAGTTGTCAGGTAACCTACTAGTCAAAAACATTTAATAAGCTGTAAATAATGGTTCTAAACAAAATAAAGCATGAACGAAAAAGGCACTCTACTGATGCCACTGATTTGTTTTTAGTCAAACATTTGCCTGAGGTATTTAAGTGCAGTGCTAAGAATTGATGCTGTCTGTCTGTCTGTCTGTCTGTCTGTCTGTCTGTCTGTCTGTCTGTCTGTTTTTTGTTTGTTTGTTTGTTTGTTTGTTTGTTTGTTTGTTTGTTTGTTTGTTTTACTGCATTCTGAGTTCCACACAGAGCTCCAGATATGTTTCTTCTTTTCTTTTTTTTTCCTAGCCTATGCTAAGTAAAAATTTGACATGGTAAATGGCAAATGGCTTGAACTTTTATAGCGCCACATCAAATCCAATTGGACCCCAAGGCACTTTACACTTCAGGCATTCATCCATTTACACACACAAATTCACACAATTATGGTAGCAAGCTACAGCCACAACTGCCCTGAGGCACACTGACAGAGGCGGGACTGCCATGCACCGGCACCACCGGACCATCTTGCCACCATCAGTAGGCATGCGGGTGAAGTGTCTTGCCCAAGGACACATGCATAGTTAAAAATATTATATATTATTTTAAATCTATGCACAGATTTACCTTTTTTACCAGGTATTCCTGAATCCCCTGGAACACCAGGGTGGCCGGTAAAACCTTGTTCTCCCTGTTTACCACTTGGCCCTGGTGGTCCAGGAAATCCTGGCAAGCCTCCTGTCCCAGGTCTGCCAGGATAGCCCCTCTCTCCTATAATTAAAGGGAATCTGTTACTCTTCATCCAGTGRCATGACAAACATTGCAAGCATGTATTAATAAGAGCAACAATCTACATTGAAACAATAACAGAAGAAGTTGTTTAATTGTATGTAMAATGTTATGCAGACATACCCTTTTGTCCTGGCAAACCATCACTACCGGGATCTCCTGGAGAACCATCAGTACCTCTWGGTCCAGCTGGGCCTGGAGCACCTGGATTACCAGTAAAACCTTTTGAACCCTTCCGACCATGGCCAGGGAGCCCAACATCTCCTCTCGCACCTTTCAGACCAAGGTAGCCTTCAAAGAATTTCAAAGTTCAATGAACACAAAAAGCACACACGGGAAAGTGTGTCTTTCTCTATAATATTATCCACGAGAATAGTGTGTCATCACCTGGTATTCCCCTTATTCCAGGGTGTCCTGGAGGTCCTGGAGGTCCTTGTGAACTTATCAGATCACAAGGAGTACAGGGCAGGCCTTGGGGACCAGTTGCTCCAGGATCCCCATCATCACCAGGTCCTCCTTTACTGCCCAGGTGTCCTGGTTGGCCTTGTATGCCTAAAATATCAGGATCAACCAATTTCTTTTTGCAGAAACAGAAGGTCCATATTATTTGTATTTGTTTATTTATTTATTGTAGTTGTTGTAATCTAACTATAACCCTTTGTTGGAGATTTGCTTATTCTGTCCTAAATGCAAATAATGTTTACCAGGTAATCCTGGTCTTCCAGGAGTTCCAATGGTTCCTTGGGATCCCACAGCTCCACGAGGTCCTGTAGCACCTGGAGCACCTGGCCTAGGATAGAGGTTGTCTCCTGGGGCACCCTTCCTTCCTGGGGATCCAGGTAACCCAGGAAGCCCTTGAGGGCCATCCAAACTAATACCACTGGGACCAGGGTCACCAGGATCCCCATTCAAACCTTGAGGTCCTTTGACAAAAGAAAACAACTGTTGATTATTTTGAGAATTGTCAGCTGTCAATTTATGCGGAAGCTTCATGAAATACAAGCTTGGCAATGTTATTTTTTTAATCAGAGTGACAGGTAGTCATTACCTTCTGGCCCAATCCCTCCAGTTCCACTGTCATCTCCTTTCATTCCTTTGGGTCCAGGTTGTCCAGGTATTCCTGGAAACCCATCTCTTCCTGGCTGGCCTGGTATCCCTATGAATGAGACAAAACACAAATGGAAACATGGAATTCTGAAATGCAATATATGGKTAAAACTTGTCAATAAACATAAACCATTAAGTGAATTTATTAATTCATTTCAATTCAGTTTGTTTATATAGTGCCAAGTCACAACAACTGTTGTCTCAGGGCATTGTACTGTACATAAAAAAATCTGAAGAAGCCAAAAAAAAAACCTGTGCCGAATCTTCACTTTGTCACATGATTTTACTCAAATATATCAATGAAAAGAGCATTTAAAATATAACACAATCAAAATGTCAATCAATAAGCTTTGCATTTCTGGCAATATTTTAGCAGATACTTACCCGGTTCACCTGGCTCACCCTTAGAACCTGGTGGGCCAACTGGGTCTTCATTGCAGCACTCATCTGATTCACCTAATGTCACAAATCAAAATTTATTTTTGAGACTACATGACACTGCCTAAAATATGAATGCTCAAACAATATTTTCACAAAGTTTGATCTGACCTGGAGGCCCTGGTCTTCCAGAAATTCCAGGTAGTCCAGGAAAACCCTGATTTCCCTGAGGCCCAGGTATGCCCACTGGGCCTGGGAAACCAGGGCCAGGGGACCCCACAGATCCTGGAAACCCTTTCATTCCAGGAGGACCTGGGTAACCTTTTGGACCAGGTAATCCTGAATTCCTCTGACCCTGCAGAAATGTTGTTTCAAACCATGAAAGTAGAACAAAAAATGTAGGAAAGTAGAGCCCAACATGTTTTTTTTATTCAAATGTATGTAACATAATTAGGCAGACTTAGTAAAATATGTATACTATTTCACACATCAACCATAAACGGTAAAAAATAAAATGACATGTGTACACCCACCGGTGGTCCAGGTTCCCCTTCCTCACCAGGAATACCTTCCTGTCCAGGCCTACCTGTTCTACCAGGAGGACCAGAATACCCAGGTTCTCCTGTGTCACCCTTAGCACCTTGTAAAAACACAAATAAGTTCAACATACTACACTATAAATTCTAAGTTATCTAAAGACAAGTGTACATCTTGTGATTCATGTGGATGCATCATTCTGAACAGTGAGTAGTAAGCACATTGCATCTATGACATAAACTCCAAAATCCATTAGAGAAAGTGAATTTATGAATGGAATCCATCAATAAAAGGAACATAAAAAAATCAAAAACCTCCAATCCATGAGCATGGCATTCACTTCCTTCATTCAGTAAATTACTGAAACAAGACATTACTTAGAGAAACCTGACCCCTACAAATCTACGTTTTTATATGTCCCACATAAAACATAACTGTTTCGGTATTTTCATTTAGATTAAGGTTTTAATACACTTACCTTTAATACTATCCACAAAAGATTCACCTTTCTGACCCTTTCTTCCTTTTGAACCTGTAATTCCTTGATAGCCCTGCAAGAGTCCAAATAAAACTGATTATTACAGTTCTGTGCATGTAGCATTAATTAACTTTTAAAATGATAGATGGTTTACAAAGTCAGCTTCAACTGAATAATGATGTCCTTACTTGTGGGCCTCTTGAGCCTTCAGTTCCTTGGAGTCCTGGATCTCCTTTGGGTCCTGGAGCTCCAGGTAAGCCTKGGGGGCCTGGATAACCAGGTAGACCCGGGAGCCCTATACTTCCAATGCCAACAGCACACTCACATTCCCCTGGACAACCTTTAYGGATTAGAAAAAGCAAATATTAAATCAACTTTTGATGAATTAAATTTACTAAGTTTAGTTGTTGGCAGCCAACTTGAATTGTCTTAAAGAGTTAATTAATCATCCTAATCTGTGTGGTTTTGATTGGGTTTATATCTTTTGTGTTTTTTTTTATCATACATACGTGTTATATTAGTTCTTCATTTGTTTCATTTTGTTTTGATTTGTTTTGTTTTTTGTGTCTTTTTTCTKGATCTAGCAAAGGTGTTTTACTTATATTAACATGCGTGAAGTCACATTTGAATATTATGTTATTGGACCTATTCAGAAAATCTATTTTAGATCTTGAAGCACCTTTTAGTAAGTAATATCAAAGTGTGTTATTTTGCAATAATGCAGTTTTTTTACTAATGTGTGTTTGTCTGTTTTGTAAAAAATTTAGCACAAACTGTTGGAGTCAAACGTATCTGTTTGTTAACAAAATATYTCATAAAGTTTATGTAGAGCATCTGCAACTTGTTCATTTTATTGTCAGCATAAGTCAAGACTGTTACCAAAGCTAATCCACATTAACAAACACAAATAGCACAGTATGAACCTATCGACTGAATWATCTGTTTAATATTCTACACTTAACTAAACATTACATTGCTTTCCCAGTTGAGCTGTTGTTTCAAATATACTGTAACATGATCCATCAGTACGGACACTGAAAAAAATTTAACAGATTTGAAAAAAAAAATACCTTTAATTCCTCTGAGCCCTTTGTTTCCATGTAGTCCTTTTGATCCATGATCCCCTGGTTCTCCTGGGGTTCCAGGTTCACAATAATAGTCTTTGCCAGAAATCAACCAGACATGTTAACAAATTGAAACTAAACTGGTCAAAASAAATTTGAATATTTGAAAAGTTCAGAATTTAGGTAATAATGAAATAATTACCTCCACATCCTGACCCATTCCATCATGTGTCACAACATGCCAACACAACACAAACCAGGAAAAAAAGCAATCATTCAAAAAAGTACAAAAAGTAACTGACTTTTTTTCTGAGATTTAAAAAAAAAATGTTTGCGCAATAAGTGGATATACCTGGAGGACCTGGGAGGCCTGTGACTCCTTTAACACCTGGAACTCCTTTTTCCCCTTTAGGTCCTGGAAATAAGCTATCATGATAACTCGCTGGTTCTCCCTTGTTGCCCTTTTCTCCAGGAAGTCCTTGTGGACCAGGAAGACTTTGCTCTTCTAAAAAAGGTATGTAAACATTAATAATGTTTATTGTTTTTTTACATAAAATCATATGGTTGATTCTAATGTAAACAAATTACATAAATAGGCAAATAACATCATGGGCTATGTGTTCAATAAATAGTATTTCAATTTAAACTAATGAGGGATAATCAGAGTAATTTAGAGTCTTAGTTCTGACCTTTGTGCCCTGGTAGACCCGGAGGCCCGGGTGTGCCCATATAACCAGGGTCCCCAGGAAGTCCAGGAGCACCTGGATATCCAGGGTCTCCTTTAGGACCTGAAGCATAGTAATACATAAAATGTCTTTGTTTTAATTCACCAGTTATTGAAAAACAAACTTTACAACTTCCTATGTAAATTTAAATAACTAAATTACATAGATTTCTAGTGCAGCACATGTGCTAAAAGTATAAAAACAAAATTTTACCTCTCACATAACTTGCATTAKGAAACAGCAAAGGACCAGGAGGACCTGGATCACCCAGATAACCCTGTTAAGTGCAGAGTAAAGGAAATCAAAGAAAAATTAACATGAAAAGGGAAAATTGCAATGTATATTTTAAATATCACATCAACATTTGGATTGTTGTTTTATTTTTTATGTTGTAAATGTGGCAGCACAACTTAACATCCACCAGAGGGAGGCAGTGTCTCCAAAATATAATCTGTGTGGGAACGTGTGTGAATGGGTGAATGATTGAAGTGTGCTTTATTACTTCAGGAAATTTATTATATATTTTCTTCGGATGACAGATTTGCCTTAACTAAGAGAGGAATAATACTCTTGCAARCAAAGTTTACCTTCTCTCCAATTCTTCCTTTGAGGCCTGGATGTCCTATGTTTCCTGGTAAACCCTGAAACGTGATATTATTGTACAGTAGCTTAAAACTAAAAGTCTGAGCAAAAATGCATTACAAAAGATCAGGAAATAATCCAGATGATAAGTAATAACCAATAATACCTCKGCTCCCGTTGATCCATCCCTACCTGGAAGTCCATGAGGACCCTAGTTGGGAAAATGATGATTGTTTGTTTATATTTTTGTGCACAACTTCTACAAAATGCAACTTAAATCACTTACCCTTGCTCCTGGAAATCCAGGGATTCCTTGTTCTCCTTTAAGTTTTTGACTTGCGTGTTCTTCTGTATTACCCTGAGAAAAAAAGTAATGACAATATACTG